ACACCTACCATCACGACACCATGAATCTTATAAGGCCAAGGCGATCCAAGAATCGACGAGTTACAATTTCAACTATCATCAAGACATCCGAAACATATGGCAACTATACTAATATGCGACGCATTCGAGAGGGAAGCAAATCATCGCCTTATATCATTTATAAAAACACCAAAGTCCACCAAACGAGCACAGTGTCTGTAATAGATTTTTAAATAAATCTGATTCGGGCATGTCATTGGACCTATAAGCTTAAAGAGTGGATTGAAGGGAATGTAATGAAAATAAGTGTTTCTAACGTACACTAGAGCAGGTAAGAGAGTTGACCGGCTGAATTTTATTAATCAAATCCACTATGGAATTCTGAATAAATGATCACATAAAGAAAAATTAATTTTAAACATATTAGCAACGCGAGGAAATTTTAAGATGCCAACGGCTAAAACACAATGGTCTCAAAACTGATGAATATATTAATCGGAACCACTGTGAGATGGTAATGGATGCTTTCAAAAACCGCGGGAACGTGGATGTTTTAGATGAACAAGAATTTGCAACGATTCACTCCCAAAGACTCATCTTTTTTCAGGATCAAGTGTAAAGATGGACTCCAGTAGGTATGAAGGAGAATTAGGTCTAGTGAGATGTACAGAGACTAACCATCAATGCTAAGTCTATACTTTCTTTTATTAATTTTTAGAATTACAGTTTGGTTCTTCAGAGCGTTTTGCTGTTCTCCTCCTCTTTATATAAAACTTCATAATGTAGGAAAATATGGTTGTCCACAGTTTCGTATCATTTGTAGCTCTAAGCTATATTCACCCCCCTTCTACATTTTATCCCATTCAATTACAAAAAAAAACTCGTTAGATAGCCTCCATGTTGTTTCTTGCAATCCTTCACCTCTTCAATAATTCCTATTTCCTATTTTGTAAGCCTTTTTTCCTCATTATTTGTCCCAAAAATTTCAAATGCCTCTTTCTGATTCTAAGTCCATTCTTCTATTTTGTTACCATTTTCATTAAAACTTCCTCGTACCTTACATGTTCTGGCGATGGTATTCTCAGCATCCTTTAGTAAAAACACAAGCTCAAGTCTCCTCGTCTATGAGTTAAGTGTTCAGCATTTACTTCCACATAGGATTGATAAATCATAATGGTTGATCAGCACAGTCTTTGTTTCCAAAGAGATTTTCCGCTTTCATAATATTTTAAGATCTTGTTGAATGTACCAACATGCAATTATAGCAAATAAAACTGGCGTAATTCAAAAGGAAGGTTAATCGAAAATCACCTTCATCAATTTAATAACAAAGGAGAAAGATAAAAAAAGGAAGATTGAAAACTATGTTTTAAGCGATTATTGTTCCTATCTCATAAGAATTCGAACGAGGAAAATATTTTTTCTGCCAAAGAAAAGCTGGAATATACACCGTATCATTAAGATACTGGGACAGATATTTTTTAAGCATTTCACCCCAAGCAAGGCGGAAGTGCCACTAGCACACAGGGGGTTACAGTAAGTAGGAGCAAGAGTAAAGAGGCGTGATAAAGGAAAGGATGAACAGAAGGACGGGGAATAGATCAATGCATCTGAAGATGTCGATTGACATTGCATTTGAATATTTGGAGATTATAGCTTATCAGGGAAGCAAGTAAGAGGAAGAGCGTTCGACAGACGGGAAGTGAGAGACATGAAGTTTTTTGGAGTATGAGAGACGGCTACATTTAATCGTTTCAAACAGTGAAAGGGTGGGACTGAGATGCCAACCTAGTAGCACGTTTAAATTCATCGGGGCAGTTACCGTGTAAGTATCTGTAGAAAAGACAGAGAGAAGCGACGGTACGTCTGTGAGAGAGCGACTGTAAGCGAGATGCCAGATCAGGGCCAATCACATTGCATAAACGTCTTTGGATTTTGTTGAGGATCTTAAGACAAACAGCGGGGGCTCCAGACCATATATGACAGCAGGATTCCATATATTTTAGAGACAAATCACAATGAGTCCCAGCATCTATCCTTCTGCTACCATAAGAAATTTTGTTTTGATTTAATAAACATAGATTTGAAGACATTTAGATAATAATTCTAATGTGACCTGCATAGAACAAAGAACATGTACTCTCGATAAGCCAAAGCCTTATAAGCTAAAAAAGTTTCAAGAGAAGCAAACAACCTCCCCAAATTCAATTCCAGAAAGAAATTATAACTGTAACTGAGGAGCTTGTTTGCTCCTCTTGAATTTTTTTCCCAGATTAAAAACAGTTCTTCAGAAAACGTCCATCTGTTTTATTATCTCAAAATTCTTCATATTTTTGTGTCAGCCGCCATTAAACTGGAAAAATAAAACAAATTAATGTTGCAATATTTACATTGTACTCATCTTTGTTGTCATATTTATCACAACGTTTCGGCCGCTCCGGCCTTCTTCAGATGGTTGGAATGTTAAACTGAACCCTTATTTCGGTCAGTTTGGTCGACTGTTCTAGTTTCATGTGCCATATCTAACGGATGTCAGTTTTCAGTTATCTTCAGTTAATTCACCGCTCCAATTTTTCCACTACCAGGTATTGAACCCACAACTCTTTGGGTCTTGTCACTGGATCTAACAAATGCTTTTATCCACTGCGCCATGTGTCCTTAATGTTCGACATTCCATCCACCTGAAGAAGGCCGGAACGGACAACGGCTGAAACGTTGTGATAAATATGGCGAAAAAGATAAGGACAATAATTCGAATAATGTAAATAGTGTACATAATATATCATCTCAGAAATATAGACAGATACAGAAATTAATTTTAGATAGCGTTACCTTTACAAATAGGTTTGTTTCAATTTATGCAGAAATAAGGCGTAAATATTTCTGCCTCGACGGGTAGATAGCGTGTGTACTTTGAAAATCAGCATTCGAAATGCTCTCTTCATTCTTTGGCTCGAACACCTGCCTTTAACACTGCGAATAAACGTAGATCTGTCTGAAACAGGAAGCAGCTTACTCGTCCGCTGATAAATATAAAATGAAAAATCTTGATTTTATTTCTAGCTATATATTGCGTTTTTAGTTTGAATATTTACGTCACTTAAACCTAATCTGCATACATTTGTGTATGTGTATGTATTTGTATGGATGCATACGTGCATTTATGTATCTATGTTTGTATGTATGTGTGCGTCAGTGTGGAGGTTGTAAATGTAGTCTATGTAGTAAATATAATTGATTTTGATTGATTTGTCATTCAAGGTCGAACATACTGAAGAGTCAAGTGCGTTGTGAGCAAAGTTAATTACCAGGGAGGACCTTTAGAACGATAATCAAGGTAATCGATAAACAAACTGACAAGCTTCTTATTTAGGCCTTTTTCACGTTGCTGAATAGTTGTGTAGAAGCAGAAACATCTCGTTTTCTTCGACTAAGACCTATGGAATAATAATAATCCTTGCTATATGTATATATAGATTGTTAGATAGATAGATAGATAGATAGATACATAGATATATAGATATGTTTAAAGATAAGTGGGGCATACATGTAATACGATTTGGAAATATCATTTGAAGGATCTTACATAGATTTGGTATCTACCTTAATTCAAAATCATTATTATTATTACTAGACTATTTTAGAGCAATTACTGATAATATTTATTGATTGTATCATTTAAAATCACTGATAATTGAATTTAAGAAATTATAAGGGAAAATATCAAACAGTTATTTTTAATAATAATCAGTAGGAAACAATTAAAAAAGGTAATGAATAATTAGCAATGTTTTATAAGTTAACAAAACCACTCTATGCAATGGGTGTAATTAACTGCATTCTGGCCATAATTATTTGCACACGATAGCAATTAATTTAATATATAACCATTCGTGCTTATCCCATTATCTGTAAGAAAAACACAATAAACCGGCAATAAGTGACAACACTATCTATAATGGCCTAATGAGAAGCATATAAACATAGTTGAACTACTGCATAACACATATCGCAGGGACATTGCTATTGAGCATGAAGAAGAGTGCCGACACACATTGTTGACTCAGTGTTCATTCTTATATTTATACAAGCTCTAATCCGGGTATTCGACACATTTACCTATAAATATACCAAGACTTGAGACTATATTATACAGGGCGCGATGGGTAAATTGTCGTCTAAATGCCGCAAAAATGAAAATAAAAGTGGCATCTCATTTTAACAGATATATTTACTAAAATTATACAAATAATATCGTGAAATACTAAAGAGTAAATTCATTCAATAAAATCACTATTGGTTTCAACCACGGCCTTCAGAAAATGTCGGGGTCTCCTGCAACGCTTCTGGACCGTCTCCTTGTTTAAGTTGGTGATTGTTGTCATAATCCTTGCCTTCAGGTCATTTTTGGTGTTACAAAGATTTTTTTGGATTCTCGCTCCCACACACATAATAATCAAGGGTTTGGCAGTCTGGGGAGTTAGTCGGTCAGATGTAAGGGGTGATGTGGTTGCAGAAAGTGTCTGACAACATTGACTGGGTTCTTCTGCTTGTGTGTCATGGTAAAGAGCCGTGTTGCCAGACATAGTTTTTTTTTCCATCAGACACCTTCTTGGCCTAGAGCAGCACTACCTTTTCAAAGTACTTTATATAGGTCTCCGTGTTAAGTCTGATGACCTCACCAACAACTTCAAGAGTTTTTGTTCTTAGTACGATCAGAGTGACATTTTTCGAGCCGCCGTACCTTCGTAATCACTGTTAGACTCATCCAACTCTTTCCGAATCCTCTGCACTCTCCTCAAATTGACACCCAAACTCTCTGAAATGTTCGTATTTGAGTTTCCGGCGCGAATGCCAAGAAGTAAATCAAGACGTTTCCAAATTTATGACGGAGTGAGTTGCGTCATGTTGCTCTTTTTCTCACAGACGGTGTTCAACCTACCTTACTATCTGGGAAAGTCAAAGAAGAAACGTACATAGAAAACACATTGAAAAAAACAATATTAACCATATCATTTCTT